TCACAAGAACCCCCGCTGCGCGGCCACGGCTCCAAACTCGACTGGATCAACGTACCCCCACCAAGAGGGGCAGAAGATCGGCAAAGTGGGCTGCAGGACCCAGCCTAGCCGGAAGCAGAAGATATGGGGGAAGCACCATCGAAGTCGTACATAGTGTTCCCGCAAAAAAAAAGAAGTCGTACATAGTGCCACGGAAGGCCACGCCTTGAGAGGCAGCCCAAACCAACGTGACATCCAACATCCCCAAAACCAACACTAGGGACGCCACGAGCAAACAAGACGGTGCCTTCAAGAAGGAAAACGACGCCGTGTGGCGCCGGCGCCGTCCGATCCGAGGAGTCAGACCTACTGTTTCCTGCGGTTCTCGAAGAGGGGCACATATTGATATGGAGGCCACGGCAGCGCCTCCAAGGAGGGAACGACACTTGCAAGTGTTGCCGCTGCCAGCATTGGCAAGCTGAGCAGGGATTTTGCCCTGGCCTGAGCCTGAGCAATCCTGTAGCTGCCAGATCAGGATCTGAAGACGTGGAAATCAAACGTTGGTCGAAACCGCCACCACAAGGAGCTAGTTTTGCTATTTTCTCTATCAGTCAGTGCACATTTTTCATGTTTAAAGAAGGGGAAAACTACCAAGATGTGTTAATATGCTGTGATTATCTCTCACCTTTCTTCAGCAGTAATTTAAACTGGATTATATCTAGAGTAGCTACATGGCGGTACATCTTTTCAATTTTGAGCAACAATGGTTGAGTTGCATTGCATGACTTGAGATGCTAATAGAAGTTCTCTAATTTTAAACTTGAAGGTCAATGGAGGAAGTATATGATGCTTTGGCTGAGCACCTTCTTTCTGTCTCGAAGAGTATCGATAATCTTGATTCAAAGTAAGCTGTTTTTAGAAATGCTGTTTGGGACATAGTGAATTATTTCCGTCGCAACAGTCTGTACCTGTATTATTTATATGTTTCTTCAGCCGTAGAACATCGATTCTTGAGCATTTTTATCAACAAGTATACACTGTTATCTGTTTGCTATTAGAAGCAAACAGAAACGTAATATTTTCGGCCCAACCTATTTTAGATTCAAACAGGAGCTGGTTAACTGAACACAATATTTTTGGTCCAATGCTATAGAAGAACTGTCTGTTAAATACCTTAGAAGCACCTAGTCAGACAAACATGTTGAGTCTGAAATACAGTGGATCTTTAAGATGTGCATATCATTGAAAAACAAGGCATCTATGTCTAATTGTTATTTAAGGCATAACAATGAACCTTATCAATGTAGATTGTCCTCCTCTCATTTTATTTCTCCTCTCATTTCCCTTTTCTGGGCAACTGCTATATTTAACAATTAAGATGGTAAATGAAAAAATCTGATGAAATCACTGGAACAATAGTTTATGTTAGCTCTCCTCTGATAGAAATTATTGAATCACTACTGTGCTGATCCACTTAATAATACCACTCTCAAATATTGAACAGATATATTGTTGGTCTGGCTGGCCCACCTGGTGCAGGCAAGTCTACTGTTGCCTCTGAAGTGGTTCGACGCGTCAATATGCATTGGTCTCAGAAGCATGCAAAAGATGATTCACCGAATTCAAATGAAGATATTGCGACAATGCTTCCCATGGATGGTTTCCACCTTTACCGATCCCAGCTTGATGCAATGGAGGTTTGTTCTCTGTTGAGAAATCCATTTTCTATTTTTCTTCTTCTAAAGTTATTGACACAATGGTGTCTTTAGGATCCAAAAGAAGCACATGCAAGAAGAGGAGGTGAGAAGGGTTCTGTGCTTCTTATATTTTAATAACATATTGTTTTCACAAAGTATTGACATTTGATTTGTTAAATTTAGCACCATGGACATTCAGTCCATCACTTTTTCTGAAATGCCTACAGACCCTAAAGGAAGAGGTATTTACTAATTTCATTGTCAAATTATATGAGCTCTGTAGCAGTAAATATTTTCGGGCTAACATCTTGGTTTATAGGGGTCAGTTTATGCTCCATCATTCGATCATGGCGTTGGTGACCCAGTTGAGAATGACATATTTGTAAAGCCGCAGTAAGTTATTTTGCAGAGTACATGGACATGTTTCTTAGCTGACTTGATTGAAATGTGAAAGCTGCCCAAGTTCTTCACAGAAAATTAATGATGCTGAACTACCGACCATAGTACCTTATGGAGCAACTTGATTTTTTGCGTATCCTTTCTGCTAAATAGCATTACAATGTCCTAAGCCTATTTTCTTTGAAGCAGTGTCCTAACCCTATGATGGTATGTGATTGTTCTGCTGTTAATCTTCATCAGACGTTAACCTCGCTGTTTCCACTTCTGTAGTTTCGATGAGAATGGACCCTACAACTGCCATAACTTCTACACAATTTTGCTACTTTACCGTGATACAGATGGTGCTTGACCCATGCTTTTTGCTACTTACTATGATTTTGTCAGGCACAAAATAGTGATCGTCGAAGGGAATTATTTATTACTGGAAGAAGATGTTTGGAGGGAAATTAGAGACATGTTCGATGAGAAATGGTGAGTATGCAGGTTTCACAACCATATTTGAGAGAAATACAATTTCATCTGTCACAAATACTAAATCTATGTAGCTCTTCAGTTTCATATAACACAACACACACTTGTTTCCTCATCTCAAAAGGGATAAATCGTGTTTCTAATGGCCAAACCTTATCGTCTCAGGTTCATTGACATTGACATCGATGTCTCCATGCAAAGAGTGCTCCAGAGGCATATTGGCACAGGTTTGCCCATCCACAATGCTTTGCTCCTTTGAGATGCACTATAATTTATGTATCTAATTCCATTTCCTGCTCTATTACTGTTTGCCAGGGAAAGAGCCAGATGTAGCAGCATGGCGGGTAATTATCGTCCTCCATTCTTGCCTCTCACACAAGAACAAGCATATGCTGCTTACATACAGCCACATAAAAGGCTCATTCAGTGTCTTATGTTTACTTTATAACCCTATGCATTAGCTTAGACCTGCATATTTCATCTAATAAACAATTTATGCCAAAAATGGTTCGTTCATGGTGCCTGCTTTGTAGGACTATTTGATTATATTGTTATACCATAGGAAAACCTACATAAGAAGTTTTCGGTTCAATGAATACATATTTTTTCATCTTTCTAATCATAGAATTTCTGAACACTACAACTCCTCGCCGTCTCAAAATTTGTCTTGTGAATCAGATTTCGTACAATGACCGGCCGAATGCTGAGCTTATCATGGAGTCAAAAAGGGCTGCAGATCTTGTAATCAGATCGGTGGACTACTCAAGCTAGACCCCATGTTTCTGATGGCAATTTTGATTTTCGGTAATAATAGTTGCTCTATCGCGATGTTTGTACATAGAATAAGTCAGCTGGCTGTTTCCATCCGTGGTGATTTAGCACATAGAATAAGGTATTCTCCCATCAATTTGTTCTCGAGGAGTAACTCAATTAATGACACCCTTCAAGTATCTAATCATTATTATCATTTTATCTTAACATTCCTATTTGTAACTTTCCTGTCTGTATACAGTTCTGAATCCATAAAGTTACAGTGATAATAAATGGCTGTAGTTTGCAAATCTGGAACTTCAGTTCATGTGTTGATGGCAAATTGTTGATGCAATAAGTTGTGTATAAGTTGCAACCTTAAGAGACAATCTATCCAGTTAATCAAAAGATGATCCATGACTTGGAGGAAACAGTAAGATAACTGCTTGTTTCCATCCATGGTGATCTGTGTACATGTTAATCTATTCCTCCACCAGTTTGTTCTTGATGCACAGTAAAGAAACAATTGAACAATTTCTCTGCATTCTAGTAATAAGAGATAGTCTTGAAGCATTTATCTAATATTATTATTTATTTCAATAGTTCTGTTTGCACAGTTCCGAGTCCGTAAAGCTTTGGTCCAAAGCGGTTGTAGTTTGCGAACATGGAAGCAGTTCATGCTCTGATAGTAAATTGTTGATGAATGCTAAACATCTTGTACTACATGTTGCAACCTTAAGAGACAAACTATCTATTTACTCAAAAGATGACCCATGGCCGGTAAGAAACAATAATATCCATAGTGACCCCTTTTTACTGAGCAATTTCTTGGTGGAAGCAACACAAGATTGCCTTGAGAGGAGGACAATGTGCACTTGAAAAGACTCAAGGCTGGCATCATTACAGGGGGACATGATCTCCAAAGGGAAATATGTTTTGCTTAATCTAACATGCAAAGTCACCTTTAGTTGGGGGAGATACTCATGGCTAGGAAGGTACAGCTGAAAGTTCCCAGAAATCATGGCAACACCCTCCAGCACTTCATGTTTTTCTTTTGTTGGGCCTCTCTAGAAAACAGGGAAAGGACAGCTCAACTTTGTCCAAACCTGCACCCTTTATCATGACACAGGGCACAATGCACCAAACAATGGCATGTATAATAATAGTACATGACAGCAAAAGATGCAGCAAAGTGTGATGCCTCATAATAGTAGTGAGAGCTAGTGATTGGCATATGAAAATCAAGTGTGCACATGGGATGCCTCTGTCCATCCCTTCCCTCCCAGTTGGCTCCAAGTCTAAAAAAACATGGACAGCCAAGTTGACACACACATTGATTTGTATGTCGACAATGCACCATAGAACAAAGCATCTCTACTCTAACATTGAGTCCTCTCATGATTCAGTGGAACACCATTATAAGTTCACAACACCAGAATGAATCATGTCAAAAGGAAGCACCATGCAAGCTCATAATACAATACAATTAACATTTAACACCTTGCAATAAATATTTGTTCTGTTGACAGTCACACCATGCTGATAATAAAACAACTTTTGATGGACAAACCGCAAGAGGAAAAATATGGTGTCTTTGCATTTTGTGCCAAGAAGAGACATAAGAGAAAAAAAAGGAAGAACAAACAGAGCAAAAAGGAGAAGACACAATTATGTGGCAGACAGGTACAGATACATCTCACATGTTCTTGGATTCTTCTTTCTTATGTATATAACAAGATGAGACTTGGGACTGACTGACTGGAAAAGAGAAGATCACAAACCAAAATGACTTCACTGATCAGGAGATACAGACTTAGACTTAGGACAGAGAATATGATACAGGGATGAGCAAGCAAGGTTATATAGGTATTTTGATTCTTGCATAACATTTAGTGCATCCTCTCCTCAGCTCCTGTTCTTGCATTTCTCCATCGCCCTTGGTGCTGAAACAATTCAAAATAAAACAAAATAATTCACAATCAAAACAAAAGTCACCCCAAAACTTAACAAAACCTCTAGAAGAAAAAAGCATTTCATCCGCTGATCTGAAACTTAAGAGAGATCTACTGACCAAGGCCAATAGCTTCTGATCCCTTCATTATCCGAAGGCGCTTGCATGACTCGACGAACATCCTGAAATTTTAGAAAACGGAGCGTTACATCAGGCCAGTGCTTACCAAAGATTCAGAGTAGTACTTCAGATGTTTGAAATAAAGTACACAAATGGAGCATTATGCATATGGAGAATCAAGAATGCAACACTCACTCCCATGGGACGTCGCCGACGAGCATCCAGTCGCCGTCCTTGTCCTCGTACGTCGGAACATACTCGGATCCGTTGAGAAGATCCATCAGCTTGCTCTCGTTCATGCCGTTCATCCCTGGAGTTCCACAGTTTCCTGAAGTGTGACAGCACGTACACTGGGATTAATATCTAATTCCAGAGCACCAACAGTAATCTGGGAAATACGTACTGCTAGTTCAGAGCAGTTGTTATGGTCTACTAGTTAACAACGAGAAGTGCCGAATAAAGTTCCGTATCAAATCAACGGGCCACAAATCTACAATCACCACAACAGAGAAAAACCAATAATTGTTGTTTTTGGGAAACCGACCATTGGTTGCATCTTTTTCAAGATGCACGCTCCAACATGTTGGATTATTGCTTACTGGGTATCAAGTTACAACGACTCATGCTAATCATGAACCAACCAAAGATAGCTAGCTGAGTGAGCAGATGCCATGATCATGATCATGAGCTTGCTAGCTGTTGTGTACATATGGTAGAGAGACAAGGACAATATGCCACAGACAGGGAAGACACCTACCAAGGAATAGGATCGATGCAAATCATGCACACCCTGGCAAAACCACATGGTGACCACCACCATACATGCAAATGGAAGTGCAATCATATACGCAAGTCATGCATGCATGTACCATATATAGCCAGTAACTTCATAAATATGTTCTGATCTTTTTTGTGTATAAAAGTTCAGGAACACTACAGCTAGATACTACTCCCTCCGTTCCTAAATACTTGTCTTTATAGAGATTTCAACAAGTGACTACATACGGTGCAAAATAAGTGAATCTACACTTTAAAATATGTCTACATACATCCGTATGTTGAGTCCATTTGAAATGCCTAGAAAGACAAGTATTTGGGAACGGAGGGAGTAGATAGAAAACAAAAGCTAGATAGATAGCAATCTTGTAATAAATAAATGGGACTAGGGTTTAGGAAACACAGTTCTAGAAAATTCAGCGGTCTAATATGCACACTTTTTTTTGACTTTTTTACACACTTATATATACGCTCGCGTGAAATTTCGGTGTTCCGAACGGGCCGAGGTAGCATGAGAAATATGTAGTATTGTGTTAGAGATATGTAGAAAAGAAGCATGCATACCGATGGTGAAGGAGCTGAACATCTTCTCGAGGGCCTTGGAGAGGTCCTGGTAGGTCTTGTACATGTTGAGGTCCACCTTGCGCAGGTAGGGCGCGCCGTCCATGCTCACCTTGACGAACGCCGCCGCTGCCGCCGGCGACGACTTCTCCGCCAGGATGTTCTTCCGGAACGACCGGACCGGAGGCCACCCCACCACCTGCGCCCTGGATAAAATTAACCACCCAAACGATTTGGTTAGTTTTAAACATGTTATGTTAAACTAACATACACACATGCATGGGTTTCTTTCATGATCCATGGGTTGCAAATATATATAAATTCAGATCCATTTTGTTCCCCCTTTTCTTCGCTCTTCTATGAAATGAAAACTTTTGTGGCAACGCATGACATGCATGCAACCTTTGTCCTCTCGTTTTTGTTATCCACACATGGCACATACATCTCCACAGCACATTTTCAACTGTTTACTCAGATGAATAAAAACAAAAACTACTGCATGTTGGTTACTTTTTACCTACCTTTTTCTTCTTCTTCATACTATATATATCTACTAAAGGTCTAAAGTGACACAGAATATATATAGAATGTGATAAGTTTCAGCTTGATTTGTACAAGAGGGAGGAGATCGGGGGCAGATAGATCTAGAACGCCGAACCCAACAAGGTGGGGCCATGCCATATCTTGATACAGTGGATGCCAATGCCATGGCCGGGAAGGGGCAGTATGGGCAATATGACAATCTATTATCTTTCTCCTTGCCATTGTAGCGTGAGGACAGGATACGAGTGATATGGGGATGATGGCGACGTGGACCAAAAAAGTAAACCGTGCGAGAGGGAGGGAGGGGCAGCAGTGCAGTGGAGTGCAGTGTGCGTGGCTTTCTTTTATCGTGTCGGCACTAGGCACTGTCCCCCACTGCCCCACACGTAACATGCTGCTGTCTCTCTGCTGGCTACCGCTGCTGCCGCTGCAGATGGAGATGGATGGATGAATCTCTCCGTAGATCTCACCCATCATCTCCTCTCTACTCACCCATGATCAGCCCTCGATCTGATGATCACCGGCCGTGATTGAACATGCATGGACTAGTACAAGCTAAGCTAGATCGATCATGGCAAGAGAAGCAGAGCGACTCATGCCGTTAACTGCCCGTTAATCAAGTTGGTTTTGCTCGCAAACTAGTTAGTTAGGCTCGCGTTTTTATGTTTTGTTTTGTTTTTTGAAAGCTTGCGGTACGAAGAGCTTAAGACGAGCAGAGCTGAGCTGCATGCAGAGCAGAGCGTAGCAGAGAGATGGGTGGAGTGGAGATAGAGATGGAGATGCACGTACTTGGGAGCGCGCGGCTTCTCGGCGGGGTCGGGCAGCGCGGCGGTGGTGACGACGCTGCTCTGGCTCGGCGACCTCTTCATCTTCCCTCCGCCGGCGTCGGTCGCCGTCTCCTCCTGGTTCTCTGCCGCCGCGGCGGCGACCACGGCCACGTCGGCCCGATCCTCCTCGGCCGGCGCCTCCTCGCCGGCCGGCTCCAGCTTGAGCTTCAGGTCGATGGTCTCGGCGAAGCCCCTCTTGCCGGAGGAGCTCCTCGCCTCCCCCTCGCCGCCGCCGGGCAGGCCGAGCCGGAGCTCGGTCGCCTCGAAGCCCAGGTCCGCCGCCATTGCTAGCTGGCTCAGCTCCTCGCTTCTTCTTCTTCTTCCGCTGCTGCTGCTGCTTGGTTTGCTTCGCTCCTTTCTGCGTTTCTCGGCGAGCTTTTGGGGTTCGGTTTGGCTGTTTTGAGAGGCTGCAATGCGAAAGGCGAGCGATGCAAATGCGGATGGAAATAGATAAAGAGAGTGAGAGAGGAGGGAGGGGGGCAGGCAGAAATAATAATGGCAGCGAGGGTGTTGGTGTGGGCGTGTAGAATAATAGGGCCATGATAATGCATGGCCAGCCTCTTTTGCGCCTTAGCCCCTCTGCTAATATTTTTGATTTGTTCTCTAGAGCTATTCATTTGTTTAGGCGCCTTAGACTCAGCTTGTTGTCGATGGAGTATTATATGCTAACTTATTTTATAATCTGTGGTGGAGAATAGATATAAAATCTAAAAAATTAATTGATTATACAGATAATGTATAACACATACAAAAACTTGTTAAAAGGAACTAGATTACCATGATCCACAATACGGTGCTAGCGCAATGCTATTGCTATTGTGCATAATATACCACAATTAATTAGTTCCTGAGAGGAGATGGACCGAGTGGATATGTGGACTGCTTGCCACCTCGACGACGAAAATTGCGGTAAATGGGGTGCCGGGTGAGACGATATATAATGCACGTGGGCTGAGACAAGGAGATCCGATTTTCCCCATGCTTTTCATCCTCTGTATGGAGCCTCTACAAGCCTTGTTCAGCAAGGCCACGGATCAGGGCATCTTTGCCCCCCTTGCTGCAAATGGAGTGCACCAGCGATTGTCCATGTTCGCCGACGATGTCATGTTGTTTTTCAAGCCCGTGGCTCAGGAAATCAGAGCTTGCAGAAAGATCCTGGAGCTGTTTGGGGCTGCCTCGGGCCTTGTGGTGAACCTTGCTAAGAGTGCGGCACTACCTATCCGTTGCTCAACGGAGGAGCTTGAGGCAGTTTGCACATCCTTAGACTGCACGAAGGCATCTTTCCCTTGTAAGTACCTTGGACTACCGCTCTCAATCAGAAAGGCCACCCCGGCACAGTTCCATTACTTGGTGGAGAAATTCGCTAGCCGCCTGCCCAACTGGAAGGCCGCTACCCTACCAAAAAGTGGACGGCTCATCCTCATTCTCTCTGGACTATGTGCAATCCCAATTCATGCCATGCTCGCCATGAACATACCTCCGAAGACCCTCACCGCCCTGACGAAGATCTGTCGGGGTTTCCTCTGGTGTGGTAAGATGGACGCGCGCGGTGGTAATTGCGCCGTGGCGTGGGATCTGGTTTGCCGCCCTAAGTGGGCAGGAGGACTCGGCATACCAAATCTGAGATGGTTGAACATCGCGATGATGGCCAGGACGCCGTGGTTACAATGTACAGATCATACTAGGCCATGGGCAGATTTCCAAATCACAATCCCAGCAGAGTCAAGGGCGCTCTTTCGTGCGGCGACAACAGCTTCAGTAGGGCATGGGCAAGACACACGTTTTTGGGAAGACAAGTGGATCGACGGCTTTAGAGTCCAGGACCTGGCACCCATGATTTACTCCAAGGTATCGAGACATGCGAGGTCCTCAAGAACAGTTGCAGATGCGCTCACGAATCATGCATGGGCGGCGGACATTGGGCCTGAACTTTCGGCAGGCATGCTCGGACAGTTTTTGGCATTATGGCAGCGGGTTGAGGGTGTGACCCTCGATGAGGACGCACCGGACAAGATTCTTTGGGCGTGGGAGAAGGATGGCAGGTTCTCAGCGCGATCGGCATACGCGGCCAAGTTTGCGGGGCTTGAGACTGCTCCAACGGCAGAGTTCACGTGGGCGTCGCGGGCGCCCTTACAGCTTCGGTTCTTCGTCTGGCTGGCCATGAAAAATAGATGTTGGACCTCCAACCGCCTGGCTAGGAGGGGCCTCCCTCACCAAAGCTCGTGTCCTTTCTGTGGCCAGCACGAGGAGACTATCGCTCACATCATGATCGGATGTGCTTTCGCTCGAGAGGTTTGGAGCAAGGTGTGCCTGGCCTTGGGACGGCCAGAAAGTGCTCCAACGGCGACGGAGTCGCTCCCGGAGTGGTGCATCAGGCAGGACGACACCAGGCATCACCGGAAATTGGCTAGGACGGTCTTTATCTTGGTCCTATGGAAGCTGTGGATCCATCGAAATGCCGTGGTCTTTGACGGGGAGGCGCCATCCACGCGAGAGGTGCTAAAGAGCATTGATAACGAAGCAAGGGCATGGAAGCAGGCAGGACTATTACGAGGGGAAGTCGAGGGGTTCATGTTGGGCCTTGCGCTGTGGGCGAGTAGCGAGTAATCCGCCAAATAGCTAGTCGAGTGGAGTGGCCGAAGGCTACCTGTAAATAACGTTGTACTATCGTGTGTGGAGGGTTTCTACCCTTTCCTTCTTTAATATATGATACGCACACTCGTGCGTATTCGAGAAAAAAAAATAGTTCCTGAGACAATTCTGTAGTTAAACATATTATTATCACAACTTAAGTACAGAATTATTGCCGTCTCGATGGTGTGGCTAGTGCCGTCGCCTCGTCGAAGTGCGTGTGGAGGCGTGCCTCCCTTGCATCTCGCGCGATTTCGTTAGTGTTGGTCTTTGATGTATCTGTTTGGATTCAATATTTGTCAGTTCCGGTAGGGAGGGGCGATGATGGTGACACTTTCGGCTCATAGAATGCTTGTGGTCATCGCTAGGTGGTTCATGGACCTAGTTGTATTTTTTGTTACCTCGGATGTTCTCACCGCTATTATTGATTATGAATCGATCAAAAGTTTCTCTTCTGAGGAGGAAAAGTGCAAAACTATCAAGGGCTCCTTTGATTCAAAGGAATTTTATAGGATTATCGGAGGATTGAAATCTTTAGGATTTTTTCTTATGTTGGTCCTTTGATTCGTAGGATTGAATCCCACAGGAATTTTTTCTATGAAATCTTTTGTACTACATTTCATAGAAAATCTAACATCCACTCCAACCTCTTTTTACAATTCTTTTGTTTTTCCTGTGCCATCAAACACTCATTGCTAATCCTATGAGATTCAAGTGGACATGCCACTTCAATCCTATACTTTTCTTATTCCTACATTTTCAAAATCTTACGAATCAAAGAGGCCCCAAATTTCTGATGAAGAAATACACATGGATATAGCTGATCATATGGTGCAATTTTGTTTTAGTGCTTCCGACTGCTAAAGCACACATGTAACAATGGCACAAAGGTAAGACGCAGTTTAACGTGTTGAAAACAAGATTATCAAGTATCGACCGAACCTTAACAAACAAAAAAAATTAATAATAAAGCGCGTATTAGTGCAGCTTGGTTTGCTGGTCGACCACTAAAACGAAACTATACAAGTAACGTGACGGTTACAAGAAAAAAAAAAGCAACGTGACGCTTACACTTGTTTTCCCCTCTTTTTTTTTTTTGGAATGCATGTATGCAGTGGGCGCTCGAAAAAGAAAAAGGAAAGCAGGGGGAAATAGAAAGGGTGGGGTCACGTCGGGCTTTGCTGGGCTAGCTGGAGGCCAAGAAACCGCATGCGCTGTGTGACCGTGACCCCCACGCGCGAAAATGACCGCCTCGTGGGACCACCACGCGCGATCGCTCACCAGGGATGGTGGGTCCCACGTGCCTGCCACCTTGATCACTATTTTTCTCTCTCTTGCTCTGTTTCTATCTTTGCATCGTCTTTTCCGTTCCTATACCACTCCTCCCGCTGTTCAACGATTAGAACCCTCAAATCCTCAAACCCTTATAAATAACTGTTTTTTTTATAGTTTGCGAGTAAAAAATCGCGTAGACTAGAACTCCTTAACCCTCAATCCCTCAAATTTTTTTAAGGGTCCAACCCTCAAACCCTCTCCCAACCCTCAGAAGTAAGGTTTGGGGAGCAAAACCTACCCCAACCCTCATTTGGCGGTTATCTTCGCGCCAACTCCCGCGCCCGCGCCCACGCCCTCGTCCGGCGCTGCTAGTCGCCCCCGCCGCCGCCGGCCGCCCCGTCGACCTCCCGCGCCCGCCCGCCCCCAGCCGCCGGCCTCTCCTCCACCTCCTCCCGGCCGCGGCCGCGCTCGCC